AAAAAAATACAGATAATAATAAAATCATAGAAAATAACTATTTATTTACATGTCAACAGGCCAAAACTGTAAATTATCTGTATTTTTCAAAAACATATATCAGGTAATTCCTTCTTTTACAAAGTATGTCTGAAAAATTACACATTTTTAAACTGTATTTTAAAAAAGCAAAGATATGGTTATTTTTAGAAATATTTGATATTGTTTAAAACAAAACTTTTAGTTGTGAAATTAAAAAAAAATAAAAATTTATTCACAAAAAATAAAACAAAAATGTAAATAATGTCACCATGAAGTTTTACTGTATTTTAATAAAAATATACCATTATTTTCAAGATATTTGCGGTTATTTAAAAAAAAAAAAAAAAAAGGAAAAACACATAAGAACTTTTAAAAAAAGTAAATAGGTGTGTTTGTGTCCATGCTCATCATAAAACATCCATGCAAATGGTAATTTTTATTTATTTATATTTTTCAAAATTTGACTGCAATATTTTATGCAGATTTAGATGTTTTTTAAAATGTATTTAATTTAATTGTAAAATCATTTCATGTTTGCAGTTGTTTAAAAGAAAAATATGTAAAATCGTTATTTAATATTTTACAGAATTTGCCGGTTTTGTCAAATGACAAATAACGAGTTAAAAAACAAACAAAAAGAACTACATGTTGTAAATACTACTACTAATAATAGCAATATTAATGTTCTTTTATGTTTAACCACAAAATTATATTATGTTTTTAGTGTATTTACATTTTTTTTTAAAAAATGTATAATTATTTTGACAGATATTTTTTAAAGAAACTAATTCTGCATGTTGAAGACTAAAAATAAAACGGCACTTTGAGTTGTTTCCTGTTTTATCATTTTATACGCAGCATCTAATAAAACCACAGAAGACAGCATTAATTTACACGTCCACAACAAAAACCTATGTTTTTATAAACAGAAGTTTGATGTGTCACACTGTGTGACCGTAGTATTGTTTAACTGTGTAGAACTTTGCTAAAAATGTTGTTATTTTTGCAGATATTTCCACTTATTTTCATCCTTTTATCCACTTTTTACTGCATTCGTTGTGGCTCCAGTAATTAAAGACGTGCTGGACGTCTTATTGAAGCAGCAGAAGGGAAAGAAATGCAAACTTTGGAGGAACACCACTTTGCAGCAGAGTTTAGTTCGCCCCTGAGCTTTCTGGGAAAATGAGTCCTGCGGGTCCGACAGAGTGTGCAGTCATTAGACCTAATCACCTCGGAGCGGAGGGCGCTAGTCGGTAAGCACAAACACTCGGCGGCCCACCTGCTCTCCACTCATCGCCGATGCCTCCTCTCCGCCTGCCGCCTCAACACCATCAAAGACAAGCCTGATTACCCACAAGTCCCCGGGGCGGCGGCTGGGACTCCGCCAGCCACAGTCCAAATGACTGAGCGGCCTGTTTGTTCGGCGACTGCTGAAAGGAAGACGTGACTTCCAGTGGAGCGGCGGGAGGCAGCGACCGGTGTTGTGTTTCACATGAACACTGGTGTTGGGCTTTTTAAAATGACTCAGCAACTGTATTCTCTGGTGGGCTGCAAATCTGCTCGTGTTCTGGAGACGGAAGTCAGCAAATACCCTGTAAAAGTCATCTGTGTCCAAACATTTAGAGCAATAAAGAGGTTTGTACTTTTAGCCACAGTTAGGAAACAGACTTTCAGTGAGTGGGTCTAATTAGCTGGATGCTAACGATGACAAATCCAAACATTGCCTATAAAAGAAGTCTTCACCCAACTTCAAAGTTTGCCCCTTTAACTGCTAATTTGGATTTTTGACCATAATTTCCACTCTTTCAAGTGAAAACAGATTTCAACAAAGTAATGTTGATTAATTATAAATATAAAACATGAAATAATGAAACTATATCTGTGGATCTTCAGGTCATTGTCTTGATGAAAAACACATCTTGTTGCTGCATTTATTTTGCTCTCTGCTGCTAAGAATCATCCCCACATCATGATGCTGCCACCACCGTGCTTCACATCATGATGCTGCCACCACCATGCTTCATGTTATGATGNACCTCATGAAATCACAGAACTAGGTAGAAGTATTAAGAATTAACTGTGAAATAACAGGCAAATCTGTACTATTATAAATGGTTTTGTTTTGTTTTTGTTTTTTTTTACAATATTTGTAAAATTCAACAATTATTTTGCTCTAAATAAAAATCTCTCCTCATGTTACAGATATTTGTCATTATATGAATGAAAAAGAAAAAAAAGATTTTATTTCCGTGTTTTGTTAAATTAAAGATAATATCTAGTAAAATTACAGAAAAAAATCACTAATTTACATCATTAACAGACCAAAACTGTCATCAGGTCACATACCAAAGAAAAAATAATGAAATTATCACGTTGTCATAATATCATAAAATCCTGGCCGTACAGATTTCTGCTCATGTCAGATCCATGATTCTGTGATACTGGATGAAAAACTGGGGAAATTAGAAACGTGCTGAATAACTAATAAACGTCTTTAATTATGACTTTAATATTTCCAGACATATTACAGTCTCTGGTTTTGGTCGTTGAAGTGAATTAATGTGAACAAAACACTGTTTAATGTTTGCTTATTGATGCACAGATGAGCTTATGGTTGATAGAAACAGGCTCAATGTGTCTGGAGACCAGATTATTTGTGAATCGCTGCCGGTTCATCACACAGATCAACACTAACGCTGAAGCTGTGCACTTTTATTTGATATTTAGTTTCATTTCACCGCAATAAATACTGTAAGAGGAATTAAAGTGAGAAGGATCTGGAAACAAAGGAAATCAGCAACAACACCTGTGCAGGAGGTTTTCTGTGACATGAAGCCAAAAAAAGAGATTAAGCACAAACACGTGACGCTAAATGCTCGTTCTTTGGTTTGTGTTTGTGAATTCTTTGTCATTTTAGGCTAAATTCAGGCAGAATGAAGGAGAATCGATGCAACAGATCAACGTTGTCTTTGCAGATGTGCAGCAAAACGCACCGAGTTCACCTCAAAGTGGAGCTTTTTCAGTTAAAGACGTCTGCAGCTTGTCGCTAAACCAAACGTGGAAACAAACGACACGCTGCTAAATTGACCCGCACGCTGAGAGCAGCCGTCTTTATTAGATATATGCCTTCGTAGCCAGGAGAACTGATTTACGACGTCGTTCCTCCTCCAGTCGCCGTCGGCGAGATGAAATAAAGCAGAAGATGAATAAAACGTCTCCGTACCTGCATCGACACGACTCGGACCTGGACCGTCTCCGGTTGGGAGAGGAGCTGAGGGTCGGCGGCTCGCAGCTTGAACTCACCGGTCCTACAGGAAAAACAAAGAGAAGGAGGTTTTACTTCACATGAAGGCAGAAGATTTAAAGAAGAGCTTTGAATGATCAGTCTGAAGGAACACCACGAAGAACTCCTCATTTTCTACTTTTAATCTGACTGAATGTGTGTTTTATTACCATTATATTATATTATATTATACTATATTATATTATATTATATTATATAGATTACAATATATTAGATATTAGGCCAAAGAATGAGAAGATCATTGTTGACTTTACACTGATGCCCTTTTTTGGTTT